CTCAATTCTTCCGGACTACCCATCCATCAAAAAAGCTTGCTGAAAAATATTTAGGTCCATTTGAAATTATCACACAAGTAGGTTCAGTTTCTTGGACCCTACGGCTTCCAGATAGCATGCATGCAGTACACCCGGTATTTCACATTTCTATATTAGAATCTTGTACTGCCAACACTATCCTGGATCACGTGCAATCTCCGCCTCCTCTGGTCATTATTGATGGAGAACCTGAGTTTGAAATCTCGCAAATTTTAGATTCGAAAATTGAGAAGCATCGACACACTTGTAAACTGCTTTACTTGGTCAAGTGGGCAGGTGACAAGGGCACCAATGAAGAAACTTGATGGATTTTGGCCACAGAACTCAGTAATGTCATGGAAATCATTACTGACTTTCATGCAGCTTACCCACTCAAACCTGGACCACTATCTTCTCTCTGACTGCACTCCATGGACCCCATGTCACGTTTGGACTCATTTTCATTATTCCCTGTCGCCCTATGTCTCTCTTTGCTTTTACAGGTTCCGACATGTCTTTCAAGTCCTTAAGCGGAGTTTCTGTGGACTTTGATTCTTATGCTTTTCACACTTTACTTTTATGTTCAAAAAATTATTATCAAGCTTTATTTTTATTTTCAGTCTACATTTATGGGGCTATCCTTTTTCCCTGCCTCCTTTTTTCCCACCTCAGCCATCTCCTCGGGTAGCTCCGCTATCTCCGCAGGCACCCCATCCTCATCCAACCAGCATCCTCGGAACTCCCAGCCTCCAGCTCCTCATAAACAAAGCCGGCATACTCCACTAGGAACTTGAAATGTTCCGAGTGGAGTGTGCGGAGATCCTTTGCCATTATTACATGCACCTTGTTGCTCTTCCAGAGCAACTCATTCTGGGCCTCAATGCCCTCAGCGATCCATCCTAAAACTTCCTCCAGACTGGAATACCCATCCAACTTGCTGTTGTCCCATGCCCCAGACCCTGTGGACTACTCATGTACGAGCGCACACCTCACTTTGAGTGCATGCACTGATAACACCCCAGTCCCTGCCTGGACTTCCAATTACATGCAGTGTTCCAGTCATTACAACCGGAACACCACAGGTCACTCCATGCTGGCAGGGCAGATTGGTACCGTTCCTTGCTTTCTGTTGTTATGGTTAGTTCCTGGATATCCCACAGACCGAGACTTACTTTTTGGGGGCTCTCCGGCTCCCCCTCAGACTCCGACTCAACTCTGCCACCTTGCGCTGAAAATGCAAGTCAGTCAAAAAAAACACGACAAGTTGAGGCTTACCTTGCCCACGACTACTGCAGCCCTCTCCGCAGGTGCCTGGGCTTTCTCCACGGCAACTCACACAGCCTCTTCCTCATCCCTCTTCCTTTTCTCCTCTGCCGCTTTCTCCGCGGCCAAGGCCACCTGGTACTCTCTGTCCAGGGCCTCCTCAACCTCCCTAACTTCTTTCTCTGCCTCCTCTCACTGTCGTCATTGCTCTTCCTGCTGCGTCAAGATTTGGGCAGCGGTGAGTGGTGTCTGGTAGATGTTGCCCATGGAGGGCCTGGCAGTTGGCATTGGCCTACGCAGTGTTGGTTTTGGACCCATTCTGGTGAAGCTGGGGGAAGTAAAGAAGAAGAATTTCATTTTTCAAATTTTTGTATAGGCTTGTCGCATCTGAACCTTACCTTCCAGATCATGTGACTCTTTGACACATACATGTAACTGACATGACTTTGGACACATGCACATAGCCGACAAGAACCGTATCTAGGTCTAGAGCCTCTTTGGGACTTCGGCATAAAGGGAGGGTACTGTTATGACCGGAATTCCCACCAGGCTCTGGGCACTAACGTATATGCACCCACACCCTATACACACCAATTGTCAGTTTACCAGAATTCCCACCGGACTCCATATGTCAGACTTGTCTACATTCAACTTCGTTACATGTGTATCAGTCACCAGAATACCCACCGGAATCCATCGTCCCTGTCTATGTCCAACCTCATCCTGCACATCAGTCACCAGATCCCGCTCAGAAAACCCTTCATCGCTCTAACTGAGCCCCATTCCCATTTTAGTCAAATGACCTGTCACAATTAGGACTCCACTCCTGCTCCATTTCCTGTTATGGTTTATGATTTGTCATGATTCAGATTCCGCTCCATTCTGTCCGTTCCTAACTCCAAATTTGGTGTTTACTATTCTCATTTCATGTTTTGCTAGTTTCATTTCATCATTACTGGATTTGGTATGTCATTCATTCCACGGTCTATATAGTCTGGCAGATGTTGTACATACAATCCAGTCAGAAAATCGGCTTAGATTCCCCCCAGTAATCTAATACATTTTCCACTCTAAACTCCTACTTGAATTACACCGCTCACGCTAGTCAAAGCCCACAGGCTCCAGTGCATCTATCTCTCTTATTTATCTCAACTCCCAACCTCTCGACCCACGGCCTCTGACCTACGACCCTCAACCCATGAACCCCACACAGACTCCCCAGGATTCCCATCTGCCTGTCTGAAATTGGATGACATGATCTCACAAGGGCACAGCCTATAAGCTGAAGCCAAGTCCTAGCGGATATCCCGTGGGTTTCTCCGGAAACCCGCCATGTATGTACCCTAACATTATCTTCCACATCTTTTGTATCTTGATCTTCAAAGCCTGAGTGCCCTGAACAACCAGTGTGATTCCCAATGAAAGTCATATATTTGCTTCATTGTAAACACCTTGCTGGGAGTGCAGTGGAGTGATTTGAAATGTATCTGGGGGTGGAATTTAGCACAAGAGCTAGAATAAGTACAATGCAAATTCACTACACTGATACCTTGGGTACAGTAAGGAGTTATATGGATAATGGCAAAATAACCATGAATTAGTGGGACTTTTTGGACACTGTGACAGAACAGCACCCTGCATAAAACACATTTTATGCCTCCTGATGTTTGTGGAGCAACTTCTGATGCCATTTTGTCTTTATACAATGGTAGATCAATGAATACAATACTGTGACAGGGTAATGATCATATCTAAAATGGACCATACTGTGATGGATTATCCACACAGGACTAATAGCACCATCCCATAAGCTTAGTGACATTTAAAACTTTTGTAAAAGGGTGATAAACAAACAATATAATTGTTTCCAAGCTCCTTGCTGTGATTAGGGTCTGAATTAATGTGTGTAAAATGATGAGAACAGTGCATGTAGTCAAACTACACCAGCAGCACATATACTTACATCCACAGGTGGGCCATATAAAACTCATTGTCCATTGCAAGTAGACCATTATAGGGTGCAGAAATGGTGAGATTGTGCAATGCTGGCACTGTTTCCCATGGGTCAGATGGCATATGTAATGGGTACACCCTTGCTATACATGCACAAACCTGTGTTATGACCCATGCTTGGAACCCTAAAGGACCCCCCAAATCACCTGATATTACTCCACATCCTCAGACTCCCATTGGATATGCAAGTTAATTTGGTCATAGAATTCAGGATTCCTCAGGGAAATGCCACATGCAAAATAGTGCAAGGGATTCTATCTGATGTGGAGATTTAAAGGGTGTGAAGATTGTGCATTTTATGTATGGCATCAAATTTGGGACTTGTACTATCATTGAGAAAATGCAACTGGGAAGTGGGGTATAGCATGCTAATCAGGAGTGTTGTAGGTATGTGTTAGACATGTATTCCATTTTTTTTCAGCACGATATGCTTAATTTCTTTCTAGCCTTTCAATTGAGAACTAGTGAAGTTGTCACGTTATGGAGATAGACCAGGTCACTAGAACATAATGGTGCATACTGATGTGAAAAAAGTTAGTACAAGGGCCATTTTCAGTAGGGATATTTACTGTACCATATAAGTACTACCGTATTTGGTTATGTTGGAATGCATACATCATGAACACTCAGGTATAGACACCTTGCACCACTGCCATGTCACTGATGGTGCCTGGTGATGCTTGGACCTTCAGGGTATATAAGCTAGTTGACCATTGTAGTGTCACCTCAGTCCATTATAACATATATGTGATTGAGGTGAGTCGAGATCCTAAGCTAATCATTGATACTGTAACTAATAGTTGCTTTATTAGCTATATTACTATTAGGTCTTGCTTTTTAACAGGTTATGGCTGTACAATTTACTGTCATTGTACAGGCACTCACCGTCCACAGTACTGTAGTCGTATTGTGCACAATGCAGCTATTGTTGAATGAGCAATGGTTGACTTGGATAAAATAATATCTTACTGATGACTTACTATCTCAGTAGTGACTGGTTCCTAACAGAACTACTCTTAATGGCCTGATAGCTCAGGGGTTAAGAGCACTAGACATGTAATCCAGACATAGTGGTTGCTGGTTCAAATCCAGCTCAGGTCAATACTTTTCACCCTATTATGTAATTCTTACAGCTATACTGTACCTCTCACGGTATAGTACGGGTAGTGTTACAAAGGCATAACAGGCATATATGGTCATAGGGTCAGCAATTAGAACACCAACCACAATGTATAAGATCCAGATGTTGGAGCTATGTAAAAACTTGGTCAAGGTGGAGCTGAGTCCTGACATTGTAAGACGATATGTTACAAGAGCTGGATGTGCCTTTTGACTTCTGTGGAATATATAAACAAGTATAATGAGTAAACTATTGTAAGTGATGGCATGTGTAATCCTGGCTGCCTCACCACACATACAGAGCTGCAGCTCTGACCACTGGCGGCCCCTGGCCACCTTTCCACTATTCCCCCGATCGAGTGCCAACCCACTATTGGAATCAATCACGGCCCACTCCCCTAATGGTCGTCCTCCTGGTTGAACCAGATCAAGATCCTGTTTCACTTTCTCGTCTTGACTACACAATTCCAGACCCCTCATTCCTGTTTCTATCTCGGTTGTTATGATCATGCAATGGTTCCACATTCTATATAATAGCTACACTACATACATCTGTAAAAGTAGAGAAGTACCACATGAAACACGATACTCTTGTCCTGTCTGTTACTGACTGAGTGAGGCTGATACCCACAGCCTTACAGTATGGTAGTTCTAAATCCACATATTAGTCCAAGTGTTCTTTAATAGACGTGAGTGAAAGCCGGGGTTTCTGCTTTCCTAACATCAAAGTGCAAATGGTCTCAGGCTTGATGCCTGTACGGCATTATGAAATGGTATCTTGGCCACCAGATAATATATGTTTACATAACAGCAATAGCTGAGGCTTGATTTGAGCGGACATAGTTAGGGTGCTGCTTTGATCAGATAAAACACAAACTTGCCTGGAATTGCCAATATGTCCCGAACAAGGCAAGAGGGGTTTGGAAATTGCGAGCGACGCCTTGCTCACCATTGAATAGGACCACAACTTCTCGAAGTCCTCCAGAGGGTAGCTCGGTGTTGCTGCAACCGAGGTGTGAGAATACTTTTAAAACTTTAATATATCGGTGGTTAGATGTAAAAATTATTGATATCAGTGTTGTGGTATCCCGTATAGATAGTGTACGGCAATTTTAACACCGTATTTATGCCAACCGGCACCTGTGGTGCCAACGGTACGGTGCGGTTGCCATAGCTGGGATTCTGCACATTCCAGCTTCCAATGGCATTCTATTATTCCTTGCATCACTTTACCACATCATTTGTCATCTCAGAGCATTTATCCTTTTTCTGTTGTCTTGTATTCATTTTCTTGCTCTCTTGTTCCATTTTCCCAATTTTCTTGTTCTGTTAATATCAAGTCTCCCAGATACTATGGATATTATTCTCTAATTTTATTTGCATTTTCCTTGCAGTGTAGGGAGTCTCACTCCCTTACACACAGCCCACATCAAGAACCGGAACTACCGTAGATGAGAACCCTTTGTGGTTTCAGATACGCAAAATAATGAATTTGCTGGCAGAGTTGAGTAGGCAGGTATCTCTCACACGTAAAACCAGATAACGTACAAGCTCAAATGTTGGACCACTTTTATCCCACCCGAAAGGAGCCATGAAAGAGGCCGACAAGAAAACCAAATGATCAAGGTATGAATGGTATGTAATTTAACATGATCCATCGACCGTCGAATGATCGAAGTCAAAGATAATTTCACGACAAATAAGAACATGGCTCAGGGAAAGTGGAAATTAAAGAATTTCATTCATGGGTGACTAAGAGGTGACCGTTTTGAGCAGTTTGCCACATCGATTCCAAGCGCTTCTAACTGTGTGGCGGCTCGCTTAACGCGATTTAGGCTATATCGAGGTTCGGGGCGGCAGTCCTTTTCTAAGCCTTTCCCTCCCATCTGTGAACACAAGCACCAATGTATACGCACACCAGCAGCGAGTCTCAGTGAGTTGACATACTTTTACCTTCAAATCCTTTGCTTAACCCTTCACCTTAGTGATGGTTACCCGGAGGCAGACCGTGATCATTCTCGACTACCCAGAGCATTCACCAACCCCCTCAATATGTAAGATCCTTCCGCGTCGCCTGAGCTTATATCGAAATGTGCATTCAATTCCCTTTCACGACTTGACAGTGATACATTGCACGTTCATCACCCGACGAAACCCAGCTCGTCTCGTCTCTCAACCACAAGTCGCCAACACTTCTTTCTCGCCGATGATTCTGATAGCGACCAGAGTCCGGCCCGACATTCATTCAGACGCCGGGAGGTAAGTGCTTATATGGATCATATACATGAAACGTCAGGCAATGTTTTCTAGATTATCCTCGCACTACCTGTAACCAACACTCCTCGTTTGGTTAGGAATCGCGCCAAGTTACCATGGACTTCCCTCGTTGAGAAAATTTCTCGCTATCAGGATCCACTGATGAAGTAAGTTCCAAACACTATGATCATGTACATTACGTATTGAACGTAAATGATGTTAGGCATAAGCTCACTGACTTTGATCCTGATATTGAAATCGCAGACTGGAATGACATCTGCACCAAGTTGGAAACAATGAGAGCAATGTGTAAAGCCTCTCATTCTGACGCTAATCTCACATATGACGGGGAGACCGAAATGTGGGCAGTGGTTGTATTAATCCAATAGCCTAATAGCCTGACTTCCTTTTTTGATACAGTGCTAGAACTCCTCGTCACGTAACAAATAATATTCACAATGATCGCATGGAGGCGAGTACCACTTCCATGCAACCCCTTGTGAACTTCGCTAGTGCCGAGGCGCTGGGTGCACTCTCCGGGACAAATACCTCTTTTGCTGGAGAAACACCCTCGCTTCCCCTTGCACTAACCTTCCCGCAATCCGTACTGTCAGAAACATTTGGCGGTTTCAAAATGCGGAATTTAAAATGCATCCCACTCATCCAGGAGGATCTGAAAACTCAACAATGTTCATTTGGACGTTCAAACTCGCAAATCCATACCTTGCATCACTGGTTGGTTGCGCATTTATTCAGACCTCAAAAAGACGGCAGGATAGACTTGTCTTTGGGGCAATTAGGCCATATGTATGACTCACTATTACGGTGTCCCGAAAAACATTGTCACCAGCATGGCGGGTTTTTTTGGAAAGAAAATTTCCAAGACCATATGAGGAAACATAGAGATGGGCTGTCACCCGGTCGGTTATTGGTGGACATTGAGAAGCGAGAGGCTGACGTACTACATTTGGTGCGCTCGCTTTCAGAGGAGGACAAACGATCCTACATATGCTGGGAAGACCAGTTTATTATTCTCATGTTCACGTTATTATAGCTTGTTGATTATCCATGAATATATATTGGTTTTGGCATCATCGTTGATCTGCAGGACACAAAGTATCGTTCTAACGGAGATCACCATTTATTGACGTGGCAAACTTCACCTTCTGAAAACCAAAACCCCGTGCTTGCTGCGAAGAAATTCGATCTCACTTCCTTCCCTAGCGTAGAACCAACTATCATTCGCACAAATATCTAGAAGGGATTTTGGATTTTGGAAGTGAGGCCGCCTAAATAATTAACATCTACACGGATGATCCATATCAGATTATTTTCAAGCATTGCATTTAATGATCGTCCCCGATGAAACATCGTTATTGTTCCGCGTCCTATACAACGCCGGACGCTTACTAGGTGATTGATTTTTTTTGGCAGTCAGTCGTTCCAAGGTGATCTGGATGGGGTAGGGGGTACGAGTAACCTACTTGAACGTTATTCACCTTATTCAGGAAGCGTCAACTGATCTACGTCATACCCCATGACTATTGTGCCATTCTCATCTGCCCGCAACTTGTCCTAGCTCCTGTTCACGTGCATCACATCAATGGGAATTACCGTGGAGCAAAGGAGGGCTCTCGCAATTTTCTTCATTACTTCTCACGTAGAGGGGTATGCCAATTAGTTTCACACCCAAATAACTCCCCATTCTATGGTGGGGAGACGAAGTGATAAAGCTACAAACGATTCAAGATAGAAAAGGATTCTTCCAATCTGATCGGAGCGTGAAGGCCATGGAATCAAGTAATTTTGTAGATGACCATTTTCGTTGCTCGTGGCTAATGTCCTGTTAAATGTTCCGAATATTGCCGGGACTTTGATGTGTGCCGGGTTCCAGCATTAGCAGGTTGGCGGGAGTATTAACAATTCTCTGCGAATATGACTCCTGTTAGAATATATTATAGCTATGCATGTGTGCATGTTGCACAGGTTGTTACACCCGTAATCAACCCTCTTTACCCTTTGACCTTCCCCATTTGGCGAGTAGATACTGAGTGGGTAGTTTCCTCCATGTATGGACGCCTTTCTATGAAACAGAGGCACATCGGAAAGTGTATTCCTTTTCCTTGGTATCCTTCTCAGCTTCGACATTTGGTTTTAACAGTTCCTACAGTCGCGCACGAAATTAGGACGACGATGATCAGGAGGTTGGAATCTTAATGAACAGCATTCACAGCGGAATACATTTGATATAACTGTCTCGATGCAAGCGGTGGTCTCGAGTTGAGCTGGACTTTCAAGTTCAGTAAATCCCCAATACGTGACACCTATAACGTTCAACAGGATTCAGAGATGAAATCGTGGAAAAACAAAAAGGGGAAACTGACCATCGCTCAGGCCGGGATACTATTGAGTCATGGTTTCTCTACTCTGTTGTCAATCAAGGTGATTACAGCTAGGAATGTCCCCAGGAAGGTAGGATATTGCGTCTGAGGTGAAAAGAGTTCCGTTATCCTAAATTGAGCATGGAATATTGGAACTCGGGTTACTACCTTCTTTTCCCAACTTCGCTAGTGTAAAAGGCGGTCATGCTGAAAACGGGAAAAAACCCACATCAAACGTTTTGTGGCAAGAAAATGCACAGAATAAGTACTTGTCAATGAAACGCTTTATAAGACTGGTTGCCTGAATATAATAATACATGTCATGTTGGATTGTGGCGGCTGGAA